CATGTGTGGCTAAGGTGTATGAAAGAATGGTAAATGAGAGACTCGTATGGTGGGCGGAACATCACGACATCATGGATTCGACGCAAAACGGTTTCAGGAGAGGAAGATCGTGTCACAACAACTTGGTGAAATTACTGGCGGATGTAAGGAGCACTATGTACAGAGGGGGATATACTATGGCGGCCTTCCTGGACGTGGCCTCGGCATACGACAACGTAATCCCGGAGATCCTTGTGGAGAAGCTGGATAGAAGAGGATGCCCAAGTAAAATCACAAGATTCATCGCGGAATGGCTGGCTGAAAGAGAAACAGAGTTTTTAATATCAGAAGAGGAAACAATTACAAAAACAATCAGGAAGGGACTACCGCAAGGGGCGGTGCTAAGCCCCGTCCTATATGACATATACACTAATGAAATCACTACGGACTTACCAGACGGAGTGGGAATATTACAGTTTGCGGACGACATAGCGGTATACACGACTGGACCGGTACGAAAGGAAAACAAAGACAAAATGAAGGAGGCCATATGTATAATAGACAACAATGTAGGAGAACTGGGACTCGACATGCAACACGAGAAAACCAAATTGATCGAGTTCAATAAACCTGGATATACGGACACTAACATGAACATCATAATAGGCAGGACTACAATAGAAAACTTACCGGAAGCCAAGTTCCTGGGGGTTAACTTTGACAACAAGGCGAGCATGGAACGACATGTAGTGGGAATACGAGGTAGAATGGAAAAGGCAAATGACGTCATCAAGTATATTTGCTCGGTCACCAGAGGCCCGGAAATAAATACCGCCCTCTCGCTGTACAAAAGCATGGTTAGAGCAGTGGCGGATTATGGACTGTACGTATACTATCCTAGGACATATAACTACAGCCAAAAAATTGAAAGAGGCCAGTACCAAGGTATCAGAACTGCGATGGGATATAGGAACAGTACACCTACTAACGTGATGATCGCGGAGACACGTATACCGATGTTGAAGCATAGAGCCGTAAGACTAGCGGAGAACTTCTGTGTTAAGTTGCTGAAACATGGAAGGAAGGAAGAACATGAGAGCCTGGATAGATTGATGGAGTCGGAACAGGAAAGAAGAAGGAAAAACCCGGGATTTACGCATAGCGTCCTTACTAAAGCATGGAGCGAGATAAGAAGAATTGAAGAGAAAACGATAAGAAGAGAG